TTGAAATATATAAAGTGATGCACCAAAAAGTGCTCTGGCTCCGGAGCCGAAATTGGACAGGCCTGATCTATATAATATCAGTGGATGCTTTCTATCAACATATATATGTATAATATAGTAACAATAATAAGTAAAGAGCAAAGAGTCAATGATTTGAATTAACGTTTAATATAAAGAATACATGTACAGACGTTACAGACACCGATCGGGTCATTATCAATGTTCATATAAAATTCAATAAAGTGTATACATAATGTAATGTTAAATTTGATGTATTTCGTAATCATCCATAGTATAAAATTTATTCTTGAAATTCATTGTGGTCAGATAATATAAAATTCTCAAATGTATATAATTCAACATAGTTTCTAAAAGAACAGTGATAGTTATTTTATAAGTGTCGAGGATTAATTATTGAAAAACAAAAATAAAAATTAAAAATTAATACCTTTACCGTGTGTAACAAATTATTTTGATTCTCGATAATTTCTGACAAGTTTGTAATATTTGCAGGTGAATTTGTAGAGAAACCGAATAGATGTTACTTCAGTTATCTCTAACCATAGAATTGAAACGAATCATGATTTCAAGTGGGATAAAGTAGACATTCTAGATATTGAGCCTTCTTATAATAAAAGATTGATATCGGAGATAGTGCATATCAAGAGACAAAAAAATGGTATCAATAGACAAAATGATACAGAGGCATTACCAAAATTATATTCCAACATTATACATTCTTTCTCCACTTCCTAAAATCTCTTCCATTCTCCTTCCAACTTCCGTATATTCCCCTTTATTCTTTCCTCACTACGCTATCTGATCTCACAGAAGTAAACATTAATTGTCAATACGTGGTCAAATTTTAAAAACAATTAAAATAAAGGGCATTTACCACGAGCGCTCGATGTCTAATAGCGAATCTTCTTCCGAAGTCAATACTTAAAAATACATTCGATTATAATTTCTAACATAATCATCAACTAAATTATAGACGTTTCGACATCATATCGGGTCATCATCAGTATATAACTAAAATTAACATACAAGCCTATTACAATTAAATGTTGAGTATCTTCTTTTCTTTACATGTTCATATAATCCGTTGTTCTTTTTGTTTTTCTCATACAATTTTTCATGTTAACCGATGTTATCTAATTGTTGCACTTGCACACATAATTTCCAGATTCTAATAATCAATAATTAATCATTACATATTCTAACTTATCTTATGCTAATTTTCATACCTGTGTATAAGTAGAACTTAGAGTATTTGATCTCATGACATGTCACCCACTGATGAGATCAAATACTCTAAGTTCTACTTATACACAGGTATGAAAATTAGCATAAGATAAGTTAGAATATGTAATGATTAATTATTGGTTATTAGAATCTGGAAATTATGTGTGCAAGTGCAACAATTAGATAACATCGGTTAACATGAAAAATTGTATGAGAAAAACAAAAAGAACAACGGATTATATGAACATGTAAAGAAAAGAAGATACTCAACATTTAATTGTAATAGGCTTGTATGTTAATTTTAGTTATATACTGATGATGACCCGATATGATGTCGAAACGTCTATAATTTAGTTGATGATTATGTTAGAAATTATAATCGAATGTATTTTTAAGTATTGACTTCGGAAGAAGATTCGCTATTAGACATCGAGCGCTCGTGGTAAATGCCCTTTATTTTAATTGTTTTTAAAATTTGACCACGTATTGACAATTAATGTTTACTTCTGTGAGATCAGATAGCGTAGTGAGGAAAGAATAAAGGGGAATATACGGAAGTTGGAAGGAGAATGGAAGAGATTTTAGGAAGTGGAGAAAGAATGTATAATGTTGGAATATAATTTTGGTAATGCCTCTGTATCATTTTGTCTATTGATACCATTTTTTTGTCTCTTGATATGCACTATCTCCGATATCAATCTTTTATTATAAGAAGGCTCAATATCTAGAATGTCTACTTTATCCCACTTGAAATCATGATTCGTTTCAATTCTATGGTTAGAGATAACTGAAGTAACATCTATTCGGTTTCTCTACAAATTCACCTGCAAATATTACAAACTTGTCAGAAATTATCGAGAATCAAAATAATTTGTTACACACGGTAAAGGTATTAATTTTTAATTTTTATTTTTGTTTTTCAATAATTAATCCTCGACACTTATAAAATAACTATCACTGTTCTTTTAGAAACTATGTTGAATTATATACATTTGAGAATTTTATATTATCTGACCACAATGAATTTCAAGAATAAATTTTATACTATGGATGATTACGAAATACATCAAATTTAACATTACATTATGTATACACTTTATTGAATTTTATATGAACATTGATAATGACCCGATCGGTGTCTGTAACGTCTGTACATGTATTCTTTATATTAAACGTCAACTCAAATCATTGGCTCTTTGCCCTTTATTTGTTATTGTTATTTTAATATTGTAGAGTATTTCTGTTATTTATAATATAGTATATGATTCCGCGCTTTCCAATCCAACTATAACACAAATCAATACTCATATATAGCTTTAGTTGTGTACGATTGTATTGAATCGTGTTATAGTTGAAAAACATGGAATTATGTTTCATTGTGACGCCTGGGTACATTGCTGGAAAGCGTCCAGTAAAAGTATTAATCAAATTATTTAATTAATATATCTGAAATGGTCCCCTCTGAAGAAAGTATATTATTTAACTGTCGGCCCCCTAAAAAGGTGTATCATTGAATTGGATAAAACTCGCTCTTAATTCTCCCAAATTTTGGCAAAATCGGTGGAAAACAATTTATAGCCTTTCTTTGTAAGCCGAATATATTTAGTATTGTATACACCTTTTTGCTGAGAATTTCATACAAAATTTTTTTGTTTTGTTACAGAATGCCTTTTATAATATATTGCAATAAAAGAATAAAATAATAAATAAATGAAAAAATCTTCTCCATTCATATAATAATTTATTACTAATTTAATAATTTAACACTAACTTACTAAAACAATTATTAATAGATGTCGAAAAATTTTCGGGAATTATCTTCGCGTCAGAAAAGTCGCCGTCTTCAAGCCTATGAACGACAGTCGATTGCATATAATCTTGATGACAGATCTGCAGTCAATATAAAAATTAATGTGGAACATCAAGAAATTGAATATCATATCGATAGACCTACATCATATAATTTACAGTTGCAAGATATGAATACGCCTCTAATTTCATCTGAAGACTCCAATTCAAATGGTTTTGATGTGATTTCAACTATCGATGTTTCAAATTTCAAATGTGATGTAATTGATGAACCCAAAAATAAAGCGAATTCCGGAGAAAATGTTTCTGAAAATCCAGAACTTTTGAAATGGTTATGTTTGTGGAAAACAAAACAACATTACACACGCTGCTTTGACAGACCTGTTAAACAAATTGCGTACATGTGGACACAATGATCTCCCAAACGATGCAAGAACACTGTTAAATACGCCAAGAAATAGCATAGTACAGGTATCAGCAAATAATGAAAGTTTTTTTCATATTGGTTTAAAAACGGCAATAATAAAACAATTGGCACGTACAAAGTTTGTATCGGAAAATGACGTTATTATGATAGATTTGAATATAGATGGACTGCCAATATCAAAAAGCAGTAAAAGTCAAATTTGGCCAATATTAGGCAAAATTTATGGTGACAAGGCATTTACACCATTTGTAATTAGTGCTTATCATGGGTATTCAAAACCGTCTTCTCTACAGAATTTTTTAACACCTTTTTGCCAAGAATTTAATATTCTGCAGAATACAGGACTTATTTTCGATGAGAAAAGATACACTATAAAAATTAGAAGTGTAATTTGCGATAGTCCTGCCAGAGCATTCGTAACTTGCACAAAAGCACACAACGGATTTTTTGGATGTGGAAAGTGTATGCAAGAAGGTACCTATTCTAATCATCATATGTTATTCTTGGAATCCACTGCACCTCTTCGAACTGATCTAAATTTTAACAATAGAGTACAAGAAGATCACCATACTGGTGTATCTCCCTTTGAATCAATAAAATTGGGAATGATTTCACAATTCCCTTTAGATTACATGCACCTAGTATGTCTAGGAGTCGTGAAGAAATTGTTGCAACTGTGGACAAATGGATATCTAACATCAAGATTAAATGGACGAAAAATAGCAGATTTATCGGAAAAGTTAATTGCAATGTCGAAATGGACACCGAAAGAGTTTGCTCGAAAATCTCGTTCTCTAGAAGAACTATCTCGTTGGAAGGCAACAGAATTTCGGCAATTTTTATTGTATCTTGGACCAGTCGTACTGCTAAATATTTTGTCAGAAGTTAATTTACGACACTTTAATGCATTAAATTGTGCAATACGGATATTGTGTCATCCAACGGATATTGTGTCATCCAACGGATTGCCGTAATAACAAATATAGTAGAGATTTACTGATACAGTTTGTAAAAGTATTTCAGCAGTTGTATGGCGAAGATGCTATAATTTACAATGTGCACAATTTACTTCACTTAAATGAAGACGTACTCATGTTTGGACCCCTAGATAATTATTCTGCCTTTCCTTTCGAGAATTATATGCAGTCCATTAAAAAAATGCTTAGAAAAGCCGAGAAACCACTACAACAGTTGTACAAAAGAATTTCAGAAAATTGTTATGAAGTTGATTATAGCATTACATATAATGCACCTATTTTGAAACATAAATATTCAAAAGATCTTCCAATGAATTGTACGAATGCTTATCGAATGATTGAATTCAGCGATTTTACGTTGACAGATAAGAAACCCAACAATTGTTGTTATCTTAAAGATAAAATAATTGTTGTTATTGAGCATATTTGCTATAACGAAGAAAGAGCAGTTATTGTTGGAAAAAAATTTTTAACAAAAAGTTCTTTGCCATTTTATCCCTGCGAATCACAACATATGGACATATGTAGAATGGAAAATCTCTCATCAGACTTCCAAATGTGATTAATTACGGAAATTCACAATAAAGCCGTTCAACTTCCGTTTGAAGACTTAAATGTCTGGTGTTGCATACCATTGTTACATTCATCATTAAAATAAAAAAATTTACTCGTATTATCTATTGCTGCAAAAAGGTCATTATTTTTGAAAAGGTAATTATTCATTTGTAACTTTGCAAGCAATTTTGGCACTGTATATGGCATGCTTGCTTGATCGTTACAACAAAAATGCTAATTTTTTACGTGTGACGTAATTAATAAAAAAATGAACAATTTTATATATATACTATTATTTTATATATATACTATTATTTACTATTGTATATATACCTGCAATTTTTTTATATGATCCTTATTTTTGTGATCCTTATTTTTTTCGATTTTTCAAATTCTTTCTGCATGCAATTACTTAGGCCGGTATTCAGTCAGTTCTTACATTCAAGACCGTCTTAAATTCAGTCTTAAAGTGTCACGAACTAATCAGAGGGCCGCATTAGCATCTTAGGACATTACTTAAAACAGTCTTGAAATAAGAATCGACTATGAATACTGACTTTATTATCATCTTAAATTTTTCTTCTATTGTATATATGTATATCCAGATGCGTAATTTTTCAGAATGTTTTACGTACTGCTGTATGATGCGTACTGTATAACAGTACCAGCGATATGGATGAATCTACAGCAAGATACATTTCGAATGCCGAAAAAGTGTAAACAACTTACTGTAGCCTGTATCAAACAGATGTTGCCTTGTGTTGACTGGAACACATTAGCATTTCATAAGAAATTTGGTCCTTATGGTTTGTTATAATATATTAATTTTTTTCGTTAAGATATGAACTAAATTTCGTATTCATTGCTAAACATATGTTACAGAAACGTATCAACAAGCACGATCGATTGAAAAAGCAATAAGTGAAATGTCAGCGTCAGACGACAATATCGTTATACCGAAAGGAAATTCAGAGAATTCCCCGAAAAAGAGACTTATAAAAAAGCCGAAATTATACGATGATATATCGAGTAGTGGTATTTATAGAACATATTTCTAAAATAAATATTATATATTAAAGTTACAATATTACAAATATGACAAGTTTGAAAAATTATAGATGAACCAAAACGAGACAACATTACAATGCCTTCGAATTACATTCCAATAGAAAGTGAATATGTACTTGATCCATCGAACGAACTTAATAAATCATTGATCACTAAGCCAGGTTTGTTATTTATATATGTACATAATGTAACATATATGTATAAATTACTATTTATAATTCAAGAAACGTTTGCGATTTTGTTACGTTAAAAGTTGATAGTATCAAAGTTAGTAATGAAAAATCATACAGAATTTTTTAAAATTGTACTTTAAAAGTTTTTTTTATGCTTGTTTAAGCTTTAATTTTCCTGAAAGGCAACTTGCAAATATTCTTCAATTTATGAATGGTATTATTCTTATTCCCTAAATTAAGTTATTATTTGTATATATGTATATGTGTGTATGTATGTATGTATGTATCTGCATGTGTTACAGCATACGAATGCACTGAATTAAATGACGAGGATTCTAATTTGGAATCAGTCTTTGATGGATGGGTAAATGTAGTGAACAAGAGTAATTTAAATTCATTAAGCAAAGGTTCGTATTAGATTATTATTATCATTTTTATACTAAACAGTAATTTTGCAAAAGGAAGGACGTATGGCCATGTATGGACATATTTCTTTATATGAGCATAATTACATACGGATGTTCCTAAATAAGAAATGTCATGTTGCTTTACAGAGATATCGGAAGCAAGTAAAAATATGTTTCCAATGCAACAGAAACGTGCAGCATTAGAACCACCTGTAGCATCATCATCCGGTATGCTTGACACTCATTTTTTCATGACATCATTTTTATGTAATACAATTATTGAGTAATCACAGTATATATAAACGATATATATCTTGCAACTGTACAGAGAGATCAACTGGTCGACCAGTAATATTATCAGACGTGATAATTCATCCTATCGCAAATAATATCACTTGTGAAATGCCCGATACGAATG